GTCGCCAACACTTCTTTTAGCATGAACACCTTGCCGCTTACTTATCATCCTACAGTAATCTACACAAAGGGCACTAGCAGTCCTTAACATCCGCTTGGCGCGGATGTCAATTCCTGAGGCGTCCTCTCCTGACGCACCCTGTCCCAGTCAGGCACCTTGTGATACTGTGATTTGAATAAGAAGCATATATTGGGCCTCCACGTCTGCTGGCACAGAGCTCCTAAACCCTCGACATGTCCGGATAAGAGCAAGAATACAGGTGAAAAAGAGCATCTTCGGTGATTCACAACCCCTTACAGCCCCACCTGAGTCACATTATTGAGGGATTTCTGGAAAGCCCCTATAAACCAGAGGGCAGAGCTGGCTGCCAGGGAACCAGCCACGTGACTAAAGGGTTGGCACTTTCAGCCTCCCTCTCCCTCAGGAAAGGAAGAGAGCCAGAGGTTAGGTTCACCGCTAAAGGCCAATAATTTAATCAATCGTACCTATTTAATGAAGCCTCCACAAAAACCCTGGCTGAAGGGGTCTGGAGAGCTTCCAGTTGGTGGCCATGTGGAGGTGCTGGGTGGGTAGGGGCCCCGCCCAGAAGCTCTGCGCCCCTTCCCACACACCTTGTCCCTCTGCCTTCTGGCTGTCCCGAGTTGTATCCTTTTATAATAAACTGGCCATCTAGTAAGTAAACTCTTTGCCTGAGTTCTGTGAGTTGCTCCAACAAACTCTCAACTCAGAAGAAGGGTCGCGGGAACCTCTTGCTCATAGCCCGTCGGTTAGAAGCACCGGTGACAACCTGGAACTTGTCATTGGTGTCTGTGGGGGAGGAGTCCTGTGGGACTGAGCCCGCAGCCTGCGGGACCCGATGCTATCTCCAGTAGATAGTGTCAGAACTGAGTAAATTGTAGGACACCAGGTGGTGTCCAGAGAGAATTGCAGAATTGCCTGGTGTGGGAAAAACACCCACACGTCTGGTTTCAGAAGTAAGTGAGGTAGTAAAGAGTAGTGTAAGGAAACAAGAGTTCTTTTTTCTCTTTCACATCTGTCACATGTACTTCAAAGCATCCTCAATTTTTCCTTCAAAGCACTTACCGGAGATAGTGATATAAAAACCCAGGAGTCACCCTAGATTCTCATCTTTCCGCCAGTCCCGCTACCCCACACCCTTAAACCCATTAGCAAGTCCAGTTGTCTCTATACCCCAAACATGTCCCCTGCTGCCCCACCCCCTTCTCTCCATCTCCACCACCTTCCCCGGGGTCCCAGCCACCACCATGCACCCACTGGGACCACGGCAGGACAGCAGCCGCTGCTTCAGCCTCCAGTCTTGCCTCCCTTCACTTGCCCATAACAATCAGCGTCACCTCTTTTTTTTTTATCCTCACCCGAGGACATTCTCATTTGCTTTTTTAGAGAGAGAGAGAAAGGGAGAGAGGAAGGGAGACAGAGAAACATCAATGTGAGAAAAGCATCGATTGGTTGGTTGCCTTTGTGTCCACCCGAACCAGCGGTCCATACCAGGACCAGGAATCATTTGTGCTGGGACTGGGAATCGAATGCATCAGGACCACGGGTCACACATGCCCATGCCGGGACCAGGGATGACCCCGCAGCCTAGGTATGTGCGCCCTGGCCAGGCGACGGGCCCGCAACCTTTCGGTTACCAGGACAATGCTCCAGTCACCAAGCCAGGGCCCAGCGTCACCTCTTAAATCAGTCACTAGACCACCCCCTGCCTTAAACGCAGCAGTGGCTTCCTGTGCCCATTAGACCAAACCCCACCTGCGTCGGGCACCTGCATCACCAGTCCCCCCTCCGCCTCGCCAAACTGAACCCCAGCCCCTTGCGACTTGGCGGCTCTCTGTCTCTTGAACTTGCCAAGATCATTCCCACCCCAGGCCCTTTGTCTCTGCGATTTCCTTTGCCTGGAATGTCCTGTCCCCAAGTATTTGAATGACTAACTCCTTGTCATTCAGTTCTCGGCTCAAATGTCCCCTCTGGAAAGAAGCCTTCCCTGACCCCCTTATCTGAGGTTGGCTGCCTCACGCACCTCCCAGGTGACGCCTCATCATTTCACGAATCGCCTCGGCAAGCTGTTTGCTGAGGTCTGTTATCTAACCCCCGACCCCCAGCAGAACGCGAGCTCCATGAGAACAGGCGCTGGGGCCTGTTCACAGCTCATTCCAGGCACCCACAAGGGAATTTGGCACATAGTGGGCCTGAATGAACTATCTAGACTATAAATGGATATATTTCATTAGCATATCTACTCATGGGCAAGGAATTATTATGTTCCTCATTGTAACTGCTAGACCCAGCACAATATCTGGCACTCAGATATTTCAGAGAAGAACAAGTGAGTGTGTGTGCCCCGGCCAGGTGGTTCCGTTGGTTAGAACATCATCCCATACACCAAAAGGTTGGGGGTTCAAATCCTGGTCAGGCCACATACCTAGGTCGCGAGTTAGATCCCCGGTCAGGGTACACCTGGAAAGCAACTGATCCATGTTTCTCTTTCTCTCCCCCATCCCATCTCTCTCTAAAATCAATAAATATATCCTTGGGTTAGGATAAAAAAAGAACAACAAAAAACAAAAAAAGAAGAATGTATGTGTGGGCAAGAGGGGAAGAGAACAGAAAGAACAGAGTGAGCAGAGAAATGAGTGAGTTTATTGCACCAGAACACCCATGAGTGGTACCTCGTGGCAACTACTGGTTACCTTCTCCTGCACTTGAACATGTCCACACCTTATACTTCCTTTTCCCTCCTCTGTATGGTCTTCTTTTCCTCTGTCTCAGTTTTGCTTTAGGCAGCCTGTGCTTTGGGCACCTGAAGGCAAGACCAACACCCTACAGGCAGCTTTCTAGGCTAAAAAGGTCAGTAGCCGTGAACTCTGGGTTTCCTCTGTGCATACCTTGTAGCGCAGCACCATGGCTCTCAGGAAACGTGGGCCTCTCTTCAGGGGGAACAATGAAATCTGGGCTCATTTAGAAGAGATTTTAATTACCCAATAGGCAGGAGCAGAGGGTCCCATGGTTTCCCCCAAGCCCAGTTGGCGGGCAGGGGCAGGGAGGGGGTCGGTCTGGGAGAACTTCTCTAGGGTTGCGGATTTTCTGCCCCACTCCAGTGAAAAGCCACTCCGGCAACTTCTCAAAGTGTTTCGGGTACTATCCGGTCTTCCTAAATCAACAATCCCCTCAGAGACAGTGCTTATGTCCAGTCTACTTGATTGGCAATTACTGAAAACAAATCCTAAATGAAGAGAGTTTCTGGGCCATTTTAAGTCATCTCCTCCTTCCCAACACAAGAAACACAAGTGCCCCCAAAGTTTGGAAGCAAATGACTATTAGTAAGTGAATTCTGGAAGACTGAATAATCGTTCCTTGGTTTAAATAAGAGAAAAAAAACAACAGGAGGCCTAGGAAAAACACAGCAGAGCGAAGGAAAGAGGACAGGCTCCAAAAGACTCAGAGAAAAGCACACCTTTGAAAGTGATTTAATGCAACATCCAGAAGGATATTTTAAAAACAGTTTGTTATCCATAACAGAGAACCAGAGGGTAGTGTGTCCACACAACTGGAGTAGCTGCAGAGCATCACTTAAAACAAGGTGAGATGGAAAAGCAACCAGAGGAAGAATGACAAAGAAGGCAAAAAGCAGGACTTGCGCTTCGGAGAGCTATCTATCCAAAGTCAAACCCTGGTTCGCCACTTACCATGTGTGATCTCACAAATAGCCCAGCCTCCCAGATTGTAACTCATCTCCTGAGGCTCATATAAGGGAATACATTTAAAAACACACAGGTGAGCACATCACTTCGAGGATGTTCTCTGTAACAGTGGATTCCCCTTGATCCTGATCATTGTGCTCATTCCCACCTCTAAGCAGATTTTATTCTTGTTGAAGATGTCCCCACCCCTTCGATCCTATTCATCCTCCAGAGCCCATCAAAAGGCACACCCCCTCTGAGAAGCCCACAGGGGTTTCTTCCCTTTCTGGCCTCTCACTTTCTGACTTCTAGTGCTTTTGTTAAACATTTAATACCTTACGTTAAGGGACATAAGACAGAGAGAGACAAATGCCATATAATTTCATTTATATGTGGAATCTAAAAAACAAAATAGACAAAACAGAAAGAGACTCATAGATACAGAGAACAAACTGATGGTTGACAGATTGGGAGGGGGCTTGTGGGTCTGGGGGAAAAATGTGAAGGGATTAAGATGTACTCATTGGTAGTTATAGAACAGTCATAGATATGTAAGGTATAGAACAGGGGACAGGGTCAGTAACACTGTATTAACTATGGATGGTGCCAGGTGGGTACTAGACTTATTGGGGGGTGGAGGTATCACTTCACAAATTATATAAATGTCTAATCACTATGCTGTACACCTGAACTATTAAAAAATAATATGGAATGTCAACTGTAATTGAAATATAAAAAAGTTAGTAAATTGCTTCTAAAAGTCTGATATGGAATAAAATATGACTTCATACTTATATCAAAAAAACATTATAATACTTCAAAATATTCTGCCTTGTATGAATCTCTAAACTCTCATATATAAAAGCCCAAAGACAACTTTGCTGAAGTTGAAAGCTATGTAATTACAATTTTTTTTTAATATCCTCTATAATGCTGGGAAATTTTGAACTCATGATAACTGGTTAAACCGGGCTCTCCGGCTATAAAGAAATAGCAAGGGTCTCACCCAAAGGCTGCCTATTGGGGAGACCCTGGCCCCCACGGTCACCGTCTGCAGAACCACTCTGGCATCACCCCTCCTTCAAGGGGAGACGGGAGCCCAGAAGCCAGCAAGAAGGAAGAGGAGAAATACTGCAGGTCAGGAGCCCAGGAGCGAGTGGTTACTGCAGGTTTCTGAAGGCAGCGAGAAGGGCGCTTGTGGTGGTGTGACCTCAGGTGAGCCTGACCACAGGAGACTGGCGTCCAGCGGGTGTAAGTTTGCTGAACTCTCAGGCGACTCCACACACACCCCATTCTTACCTATATTGTGCTTGGAAGTGGCTTTGCACAAAGCTTTGACCTAGCGAAAGCTGAGCCGATGGCGACAGGTGGTTCTCCGAGGTTTGACTGGCTTCAGGCTGAAGCTGCAAGGCAATGAGGAAAGGAAGCACATTAATACACCTTCCATCTCTCCACTGCTTCCAGACAGCCCCGGCCTCGTCCTGGGCCACAGCACCCGCCTCTGGGCCTCGACTCGCAGAACCCGGGCCTTCAGTGTTGCCTTTACCATAACTCCTTGCACCTTCCATCTCTTGACATCACAAGTTCCCTGAGGGAGAACGGGCTGGGAGAGCAGACTGCAGCATCAGCCTTGGCCAGCACTCACACATGCTCACCCAGCCTCGACCACCACCTCTGAACTTACGACCCTGTCTGTTATCTCCATCCTGGTGGGCCTCGTTTGTCTAGCTGCCTCTAGAACCTTTCACGGGGGACTGCTGCTGTGACCTCCAGCACGCCCGCACCCAAGTTTCCACCTGCTAGCCATCGCTGCCCTCGGTTTCCAGCGAGCCAGCCTTCACTTGACCATCTTTCTCAGACGAACCACCTTGCACTTTAGATTAGTGCATGAGCCTCCCTCACGCCACATATCAGCTCTATTGATCCTCCTTTGTCCTCCCTTATGTTTAAGTTTTCTACTGTTGCTGTAGCAAATCACCACAAACTGGTGGCTTAGAAGAGCAGAAATTTATTCTCTCACAGTTCTCAAGGCCAGAAATCTAAAATTAGCATCACTAGCCCTAAATCAAGTGTTGGCAAGACTGCACCACCTCCAGACATTCCTTGCCTCTTCCAGCTTCTGCTGGCTACAGGGATGCTGTGGCTTGTGGCCAATCACTGCAGTCTCTAAGGCCAGGTTCTTCAAAAAGCCAGTGACAGGGGACATATGTGAAGGGTTTGGGGTGAAGTATACCAATGTCTGAAATTTCATTTAAAATGCATCAAAAAATATAAGATGTGGAAAACATAGGGGAGTAATGAGTAGATACAAGGATGAATAGATGGATAAATATGTGATAAAGTAGTTTTAATAAAATACAAATTATAGAATCTAGATGGTAGGTATGAGGTGTTCACTGTATAATTAATTCAACTTGTTTGAAAATTTCCATGATAAAATAGTGGGACAAATAAGAGTAACAAATACTCAAGAATGGTCACTCTTATTTGTTCCACTGTTTTCTTAAACCCAATCTGACCAGAATATAGGATGTGCAAGGGGAAGCAGGAAATACGACTGGAAAGGGAATCTGGAGCCACGTTGGGTGGGGCCTTCAGTGTCCTAAAGAAGATCATCTTGTTCGGAAATGGGCACAGTACCAGAGTTAAAAATTAAACTCTGGAGTCAGACTGTCTGGGTTCAAATCCCTGCATTGGCACTTAGCTGGTAGGATTACTCAGCCTCTGATCCAGATAAATAATTTACCTAATCTCTTTGCTCCAAGGTTTCCCAACTGTAATAAAAGGATAATGAATGATCATACCTATCTGATAGGAAAGGTTGGAGATTAAAAGAGTTCATACATATTGTTTAAGTGTTTATTGTTGTTGTCATTACACGATTGGAAGCACCTGATGGGTTTTGAACCTACGAAAAGCCACACGCAGGGAGAGATGCTTTAACTTGACAGAGGCACAGAGGATGAAGGAGGGTAAGTCTGGAGTTAGGACAGGACTAGGACGCTCGAGGGTCCGGGTACAACAGGGTGAACTAGAGCAGGAGCTGTTAAAAGGGTAAGGAGGGATGGACTCAGGCACCCTGTGTACGCAGCTCATGACAGAGCCCCTCGTAGGGGAGCAGAGGGAGAAAGAAGGGAGCAGATAAACAGGATCAACTCCAAGCTTCCAATCTGGTGCCTAGAGAATGCCCGGTCCGTGAACAGAGTCAGAAGAAGTGGGTCAGGGACAGGCATGCCAAGTTGGAGGGTGAGCACATCCAGGTAGAGCTATCTACCAGCAAATCAACCAAGGGCCCAGAGAACACGGAACTTGGATGCAGAGCGGACACTGGTATTTCTGGCCGCCCAGGATTCACTCCTCTCCTTGGCAGTGGTGCCCCTTTTGGAACATTGAATCCAGCCCATGGGGAGGAGGGGAAGGCTCTTTAACCAGGGGTCCTGTTCTCCCTTCCCAAAGGACAGACACACGCCCTGAGCTAGACTGCTGAGATGACACTACCATGCATGTGAATCACAAGCAGAGTGAGCAAGACTGAAAACAGCCATTCCAGCAGGACCCAGGCCAGAACAGTTCCTGCCACGGAGAGAGCCCCACCCCAGGGCTGTCTGCTTCCCGCCAGTTCCAAGCCTGGTTCTCCAGCCTTCACTTTGATCCTGTGGGCTGCCCCGTGGCCTTCGCCTAAGTTGCCTTCTGATTTGAGTCCGCTGAAGACCTCACAATGGCACAGGCTGCTTCTGCATCGGGGCGGTAACATGGGGCTCTGGGCGCAGCCGTGGATGGAGTCACCCCGGGATGGGGTATGGAAAGGGAAAGTCCTGAATGAGGCTGCAGTGAGAGGCAGCAGAGGACCGTTCACAAAACACGGACTGTGAATGAGGTCAGAGCAGGCTGGCTCTGCTCCACCAGCCAAGGGACCCGGAACATCTCTCGTTCCACATCTGAAAAAAAAGGAGCATCACACCCACCTCGGGGCCATGAATATGAGCAGAGAAGAAGAGGTGTGTATCCTGCCTGGCTCACAGTAGGCGCTTAATAAATATTAGCTTCCTACTCCTCTCCCCAGCCTCACCCCTTTCTTAGCTCTGTAAGAGTCGCGAAAAGGACTGCTGGTGTGAGAGTGCCTGAAGGAGAAGGAAATATGCCCTTTCTTCCAGATGAAAACATTTGAGAATCATTACAGTTACAGAGAAGAAAGTGGTCCTTATGCTTTCTATTCCAGTTTCAATAAATCTAGCTGTATGGCTTTTATAAGTTCTGAAACAGAAATAACCTCAAAGCCCTGGTGTGGCTCAGTGGATTGAGCACCTGCCTGAGAACCAAAGGGTTACCAGTTCGAGTCCCAGCTAGGTCACATGCCTGGGTTATGGGCCAAGTCCCGAGTAGAGGGTGCATGAGAGGCAACCACACATTGATGGTTCTCTCCTCTTCTTTCTCCCTCTCTTCTCCTCTCTCTAAAAATAAATAAATAAAAATTTAAAAAAAAAAAAAAAAAAGAAAGAAATAACCTCAAAAAGAAAAACTGCTCAGAATTATGCAGAGGATAGTCCCTTTTCTTCTTGGAACAGGGAAATGAAGTTGGTTTGTTGTTGTTGTTGTTGTTGTTGTTTTTGCCAAATCATCCCAGCAGCTCTGTTCCGTCCCTTCGAGCACCGGCAGCCAGGCCTCCGCAGGTGGCCTGACTTCCTGACAGCAGATTTCAGTAGAGGCTTCGACCCAAGACAGAAGGAAAGATCTTTTCTGGTTTCAATCACACCACATTAAGCGCTGGGCAAGCTCCTCTCCCTGGCCCCCAGCCTCCCCGTCCTTGCTGGTCGCGGTGTGCTCCGGACACTCTTGGCCCATTAAAGGAACAGAAAGCAGCCAGCACGGCCGAGAGTGCAAACTAGGGATGTGGGACCCGAAGCCAGGCTGAGCGGTTGGCAGGCCCGGGCAGGGCGGGCCCCATTGGCCACATTGGAGTCTGGACGCTGTTCTGAGTGGCACAAGAAGCCACCAGAGCAGTTTAAGCAGAAGAGTGATGTGTTCTTATTTCCTGTCTGAAAGGGTCACAGTGCAGAGAACACATAAAAGTGGGGCATATTGCAAATTGGAACTATGGCTGCTTCTATGTGGGTCTTGAGGTTGTGAAAAAGAATTATTTGTGGGCCTTCTTGGCTTAAAAAAACTCAATGTTATCTTAGAGAAAGGTTTGGTTGAAAGCAAAGGCTCTCACCAGAAGAGGGGGAGCTTTTGCCCCCAGGGAACTTTTGGCAATGTCTGGAGACATTTCTGGTTATCGATCACAATTGAGGGGGGCCAGCGGCATCTTCTGGGTACCAGGACCCTACGAATGCTACTATGCACAGGACAACCTCCACAACAAGGCACGGACTGGCCCCGAACATCAGAAGGGCTGAGGTTAAGAAACCCTGGTCTAGAACTGAATTTCCTAAATTGGATCCTGGCTCTCCCACTTACTTGCTGTGTGACTTGGGGCAAGTTACTTAACATCTCTGTTTTCTTGCCTTTACCTGCCGCCAAGGGACAAAGAGGAAGATTGAAAGGCAATTTAAAAGGTGGTCGATCCCTCTTACACTCCCGGGAGGAAGGGCCAGGGAGCAGGGGGCAGGGGAACAGGACCCGAGGCCTTTCCTAGCAGCCAGCAGGAAGGGGAACTGCGAAGGCACCAGACGCTCAGGTGAGGAAAGGGACCCAGCTCGCTGGCTCTGAAGCAGGCAGACTGGGTTCAATTCTGTATCTCCCAAGCAAAAGTTGAGTGACTTTGGGCAACTTAACCTAAATTCCTGCTCACTGTAAAACAGGAGAATTAGCCCAGTCTTCACTGCTGTTCCTAGACTAAGAGGGGGAGCTGGTTTCGGTGAGGGTGCCTGGAAGAGGAACCTGTCCATATCTGCTTGGCTTCTCATCTCATTTTCCTTCTGGTTTTCCCAAGCCAAGCAGACTTCCGCCCTCCCTGTTCTAAGTCATCCCTGTGACCCGGCCGCTTTCCCAGTCACTGTGTGAGGCACCCGCCTGGGTGGTGGCCATTATGGTTGAGACTTCCTCACAAGAAGCAGCAGCCCTGGAACCAGTCGACCCGGGTTCGAATCCAGGCTCTGCCATTCCCTGGATAACCTTATGACCTAGCCTCTGCTTAAATCAGTTGTTTGTGTGGATTTAAATGAGTCAATGCATGTGAAAAAAAAATAATAATAAAATAAAGTAAATAAAATATGAGCTATCCTTACAAATAAGAAAACATGACTACTCAATTATTCAACCATTCAAGAACTTATTGAGTGTCTCCTGTGTGTCAGTAGTAAAATCATGAAAAGCATCAAATTAGATGCGGGGCACATAACAAATATTCAACAAACAGTATCTTTTCTTAAAAAGTACATTATTCTGATTTCCAAATGTGTTCACTCTAAGATTATAAAATGCATGGTGTAGTGGACATGTTTGTTTGCTCAGCCTTCCTTTCTTTGGGGAAGCAACCCAGCCGGAACCTTAAAAAGCTCTCCTTAGCCATGTGATTAGGGTGGGGTTCACCCGCTCCCCAACCCCACATGCAGGCATACGACTCAGGTGTGCCCAATCAGAATATTCCATTCTGCAGGCCACCTGCCCAGAGATGGACATATGAACCACTCTGGGACAATTACATCTTCCCTGGGCTTTTTCTGGAACCCCAAACTCTAAAGAACATTTGAGCATTTCAGGGGTCCCTCTTGTCACTGTGAGGGCAGAGCCAGCCTGAGGATGAAGCCGGAGACAAGAGATAGAGAGACAAAGACCTGGTAACATCGTGTGAGTACCTGGATCCAGTCTTGCCTGAAGCTGGTACAACCTTTTGATTAGCAAGTTCTAAAAGCCAATAAATGTTCTTTCTTTAAGTTGAATCAAGTGAAATTTCTGTCACTTGCAACTAAAAGGGCCTAAATAAGATAAATAGAAAATCACTGTATGTTAAAGAAAAATCACCCCTAATCCCGCAACCCAGGGAAACCAATATAGCCTTTGAGTGCATGGTCCTTCCAGGTACTGTGTGGTGATGTACTTGCTTTGTTTCATTTGTGTGTTCTGTGGGTGACTGGAGTGGTTCTTTTTCAAATAAGGAAACAGGCTTTCAAACTAAACTACCACCTCCTCCACCCCCGCACTAGAATCCTAATTCCGTCCCTTCTTTAGCTGTGTTGTTTTGGGTACGTTACCCTACCTCTCTGATTCTTATATATGCAGATAATATATATGTATACATTATATTATATTAAATTATTAGATATTATATTATTGCACATGTATATTATATTATGCTACCCATATTTAAAAGGAGGATAATAACCCTAGCACCTCTCCATAAATGACAATAGTTATTCATACGGTATATAACTCTCCAGGGTGTGATCTGAGGAACACCACATACTGTACACCCATTTCTTCCCTCCTTCCATGCATCTGACAGCCTGCTGTCTTGGGCATGAGGACTGTTGGCAGCCTGTCAAACTCTTTGCTTTTAATGATATTATACTGTTGTTTAAAATGAATGTTTTCTTATTTGAGACATACATGATCCTATTCTCTTTCTCTTAAAGCTGCAACTTGTCATTTTCAAAGAGAAAGAAACAAGATAATAGTTGGCTACGAGAAAAAGTTTAAAAAAAAAAGATCCAATTTCCCAAGCCATTCATTTTTTAAAATAAAAATTGTATATCTTTAAGGTATACAACATGAACACCTGATAGACGTACACGAAGTGAAATGATTACTACCATCAAACTAACATATCCAGCTCCTCACAAAGCTACCCTTGTTGTGTGCGGTAAGAGCACCTGAAAGCTACTCCTTTAGCAAATTTCCAGGGTTATCAGGTACGGTCATCATGCAGCACGTTAGCTCGCTAGACTTATTCGCCCTGCATGACTGCAACTGCCATTCATTCTTTATGACTTGAGAATGATGGGCTCCAAGCAAGTAATGAAAGGATGGGAAGGTGACGGTTGAAAGGCTGAAAGACCTCCACCGGGTTTTTTTAATGGATTCACAAGCAGGACAGAAATAAAGTGTCCAGATGTAAAACAAAAGCACTGGTAAAGCAGTTCCCGCAGCTGCATCTGGATCAGCTTTGAGACACATCAAAACAATGCGTGACTGATTCATCGCCGTGGCTTGTGAACCATTTTTTAAATTACAGCAGCTTATTCATGGGTATTGCTGTAACTTGGCTTCCTCACGGTACAATAACTTCACTCGCTTTTCCTCTCTTAAGTGAGACATAAAAGGGCAGCAGTAGAGCAGAACCCACCATCGATCTTTATTAGCAAAGCCCATGGAGAACACAGCTGATGTATCAATTAACTGGCTGTTACACATGACTGTAGCGCTCTCTTATTCTCAAAGGTTGGACCATCTGGGAATGGGAAGTGCACACATGTAAAGATCATCCACCCTGTGTCTGGAGACAAGAAGACTGGGCATCAGTGCTCTGTAGGACGCGTCACCGAGAAAGCAATGGTGGAGCTAAAATGATGCCGTCTGAGAAGCAGTGGCACTCGTGGCTTCAGACAAGCACCCGCACACACAGAATATTGACAAAAAGGGAATTTTTCAAACTTTAGGCCAAAAGGAAACCTTATTCTCTGTATCACTTGGATAAGAGAGGATGAAAATACTGCAGTGGGAGAAAATGCGCTCTCTACAAAACAGAGCTACAGGAAAGGAGCCGCGGCCAGAATACACACCAATTTAAGAATCTGAGTTTCAAGATTCCTGTTAGAGGAGCTGAGTAAATAGTCAAGGGGAGAAAGGAAAATCAAACCCGACGTGCTGTCTCGAGAGCGACTGACCTTCTCGGACCCTGGCCCCCGGGACGCGCCCTCCAAGTCCTCGTGCACACGATCCAGCAGCCAGAGCAGGAACTCCAGGGCGTCATGCTGGGAGTTGCCTTGGAACTGCGAACCGTACTTGGAAACTGCATTCTGAAAGGAAAAGCAAGAAAACCGGAGGGTCACCCAGGCCCCTCCAGCAGCCCAATACGGGCCTATCAGCTCCCGTTCTCCCAGCGGTCCCCCTTCAGCCCTCCCCAGGGATGACAACACGCAGACAACACGGGGCGAGCAATGGTCTTGCCCGCAGAAGGCTGCCCGTTGCGGGCAGCGTCCCAGATGCCGCCGGGTTTTCTGTGTAGGGGAAGGCACCCTGTTTACCAGAAAGACTCCTGATGCACGTCCTGTCCTTTGAGAACCCACAGGGCGGGCTCTTGAATACTGTGATTCTGTTGGCCATCGGCCCTGATGGCCGGGGTGCAGGCTCCCTGGTGGCCCTCCGTCAGTCTGTTCCCGCGCTGTCGCCCTCTGTGCACCCCGCAGGTGGACAGCTTCTGGCCGTGCCCCCTCCCTCAGTGATTTCATTCTCTCCCACAGCGCCAACGCGCTCCTGGTGGATGACCCCCTGGCCCAGTACATGGACTTCCTTAAATACCGTGCATGTAGCGCCTTCACTGCCTCTTCTAATATGTGCAAAACATAGCACAAACTTCTCTTTCTGTGGTTAGATCACAAAATGATTGATCATTTTCAACCTCCGTTCCTTTCATAAATATTCAGGGAGTGCCTTCCATGTGCCAGGCACTTTTCTCTGGACTGGGGACAGCGGTGAACAAGACAGGACTCCTGCCTTCAGGACACTTGTATTCCCCATGCCCTTTGGACAGTCCTGTTAAATTGTGTAACAACTCTGTCATTTTCTGTGTAAATGCGAATTCCAGCTTTTAAAAAGTTTATTTCAAAGGGGGAGTATATGCAGATACTCAAAAAAAAAAAAGGATTCAAAATATATTTTTAAAAAAGGACAGTAATGAAAAGTCTACGCATCTCCAGCCCCCGCAGACCCCTCCCCAAAGCCCAAAGGCAGGCCGCTCTTAGCAGTGAGTGTCTTAAGCATCTTTCCAGGGGTAATTTTTTTAGTGCACGTGCAAGCATGAGCGCCTGCGTGTAAGCGAATCGTCTTGTTCGTGTGTGTGCCCCCACCCGAGACTGCAGAGCCAGGCTTCGGGCCTCACTGCACCCCGGCCTGCTCTCTGCGTGCACCCACCTACGGGAGCCGTCTGAGCGAGGCTGTGGGCCCGGACAAACCTCCCGCTGCTGATCGAACCCCGTGGGCTGGGCTTTAGTCTTTTTCTTTCTTTTCATCTTTCCTTGAAGCGAAATTCAAGATTTCATTTTACCCTTTGTGACAGCATGAATGGACCTGGAGAACGTTATGCTAAGTGAAATAAGCCAGAGAAAGACAAACACCATATGATTTCACTCAGATGTGGAAGCTAATGAACAAACCGAGCTAACAAGCGAAATCAAGTCAGACTCCTGGACGGAGAGCAGGCTGGCAGCTCGGGGACGGGGAACACGGACAACTGCGTGGTGGTTGCCGGGGCAGGGGAGTAGGTAGAGGACTAAGAGGGGGCAGTGGAGCTATGTCGTGATGGACAGAAATAAAAATAAAAATCAATAAAATAAAATAAAAAGATTTGATTAATTGAAGTGCTGGTGCTGAGTCGATATTCCAGTCACCCTAGTCTGGCCACCGCAGGGTCTGGTTTGGATCCTTTCCTCCAGTGTCTGTGCACTTTATAGTGCGGCCAGATTTAGTGAATAAAATGAATAATGAATAAGCAATAAGCAATATTGGTAGCATAAGTATGTCCCATGCAATATTTGGGATTATATTTATACTAAAAAGCCACTTTTACCTGAAGTTCAAGTTTAACGGGGCATCCTGTACTTTACATAAACATCCGCCCGCTCGGCCACCCTCCAACCTGTATCCTCAGCCCCAGCTCGCTCCTGGGGGAGCAACCAGCCCCTCCGACGCAAAATCCCTGAAATCAGCTCTTTCTTTTCATGTCTGTGTCCTCTTTCAGATTCTCACACCCACATCAGTCAGTTGTCGAGCACTCTGAATTCTGGCTCCCAGGTTACTTCTGCCAAGTCCCATTCCCATTGTTGAGTCCTAACTTCAGCGACCCAGCTGACAATAGCTACCACCTTCAAAGGAGTCCGGCCCTGACAGTCGCCCCCTGCCGACCCACGGGCCACGTGGCAGGACAGACCCAGCCTCCTAAAGCTGGAGAACACAACGCACCTCAACTCCAAACCCTCCTGACTCTCTACTCACTACCTAGTAGTCCAAACTCTTTCTCCCGTTTGGCCACAGCCCTGTCTCTCAGGTGTTTCAAAGCTCCAGGTAAATGAGTCACTCAGGTGCCCCGAACATACTTTGCCACTTCAGAAGTCTACAGCTTTACTTCTTCCTCCGTGTGAAATCCATTTCCCTTCCTGACAGTCCTGCTAATCCAAGACTGATAACTGGCTTTACAGATAACACCCTCTCCAGCAAAAGAGTTTGACAACTTCCAGTAGACAGAGAAGATGGGGCTTTAAAAATGTTCTTTTATATAAACCAGAACAGTTGACCCTTGAACCACACCCTTTAGGACTGCGCAGGTCCACTTATGCAAGTTTTATCAATAAATACTGTAAATGTGTTTTCCTTGTCATTTTATTTTCTGTGGCTTACTTTACTATAAGAACACAGCATATAATACATATGACACATAAAATATGTGTTAATTGAATGTTATTCTATCAGTATGGCTCTGGGCAACAGCAGGCTGTTAGTAGTTAAGCTTTAGGGGAGCCAAAAGTTCTACTTGGATTTTTGACTACGGGGGCACAGGGGAGGTCAGAGCCCCAACCCCAGTGTTGCTCAAAGGTCAACTGTAATTAAACTTTGGAGGACTTAGACTAAGAAATGAGAGATACACACAAAGTTATCTCTAAGTATCACTTGGGGAAAACCTGTGACACTCTCAGTAGATGACCTTAAAAATTATGCTTGCGGAAATACTAATGAGGAAAGAAAATAAATTATTCTGTCATTTCCAAAGAATGCAAAAATATCTAGTTGACATTATTTTACATATATTTGTAGCTATATAAAAGACCAGGAAATATGAGGCAAAATATTAACAAATAGTTATCATACAAGGATGGTACCTTGTATGATAAATCAATCTGATGTACAGCAGTCCTCCCTTATCCTTGATTTTTCTTTGTGCACTTTCAGTTACATGAGGTCAACTGAAGATTGAAAATATTACGTGGGAAATGTAAAAAATAAACCCTTTATTTGTAAGTTTTAAATCGTGCTCCATTCTGAATAGCATGAGAAACCTCGCACGGTCCCGCTCCATCCCACCTGGGGCGCGAATCACCCCTTTGCCCAGCGAATCCTCGCTGTGTAGCTTCTGCCCATTAGTCACCAAGTAGCTAACCTTGGTTATCAGGTGAGACTGTCCCGGTATCTCTGTCCGTGTGTTCAAGCGATCCTTGAACACAAGGCTATGACACAATGCCTGTGCCACTCTCCTCCTCATGGATTTTATTATCTCGCATAACCACAAGAAGGGCAAATACAGTACAATAAGATATTTTGAGCGAGAAACCACATTCACATAATTTTTATTACAGTGCGTTGTTATACTGTCCTGTTTTATTATTAGTTATTGTTGATCTCCTACTGTGTCTAATTTTAAACTGTACTTTATCCTAAGTGTATATATATACATATATATGAAAAAACATAGTATACTTGTATGTAGAATTTATATATACAGTTTCAGGCATCCACTGTGGGTCTTGGGATGTATCCCCTGCAGATGGCAGCGGGGGGCTACTATACACTTTAAACTTACACAACATTGTATGTCAAATATAACTCAATTTGTTGATGGGTACATTTCACAATACATAATTTATATCTTAATAAAGAGGATTTGAAAACATATAAATAACAAAATAGTCATCTTTGTTTTGACCTGCGATTTCACTTCAAGGAATTAAGTTTGTGGAAATGAACAGAGCTGAGGATGACGATTTAAATACAAGAATTTTTAATGCAGTGTGATAACTTGAAAATTGTATAGTATATAAATGTCTCCATAGGGATTTGTTCATTTAATAAAATATTATGCAACCACTAGAAATTAAATCCTGTAGAATGTTTTAACGACCAGGAGAAAGTCTCATGATAATAGTTTTTAAAAAGTAGGTTACGAAATTAGGATTTCCAACTGTTTGTATATGCTTTGAAACACATCAGTGTTTATAATGATTATGTCTAGAGATAAACTCTAGTGGAGTCCCAGATCACTTTTTACAGTTTTAAACTTTCCAATTTTTTATAGCGTACACGTATTTCATTATATCATTAGAAAAGCAACGTATTATAGGTAACACCAAGACAGGATATTTTAAATGTACTTATTCATTTGTTCTTAAAACAAAGAGTGGTCCTGCTGTCTGTGGGAGGCTGGGTGGCCCAGGGCCCAGGTCGGGGCGGTGCGGGGGGCGGGGGGGGGGGAGAACAGGCCCGCCCATCCCCTGCGCACACCTGGCGTTAGGGAACTCAGGGCAGCCTGCTGGTCCCTTCTCAAGTTCCTCCCTTCCTCTGTCTGAAGCTACAAATCTCTCCCGATGACCAAACTCCTTTATGAAACCTATGTGGCTTGTCCCCAAGCCACCCTCCAGCCTCTCACCTCTAATCACACAGGCTTTCATTAATTCATTTAACCATGTATTTATTCTGTCTAGCTCCTCAGCCCCACCCCACTCAGCGACTGGCACTTTCAGTTTCTGTCCTCAGTTGACCCTTGTTCCCAGAAAACTCAAGTCCATGGTTATCTCTTTTGGGAAGCCCTCCCGCCCCTCCCCACTCTGCCTCCCCTACTCAAATCACAGCCTCCTGCCAGAATTGCCACGGCTTCCTTGTATTTTTATTTTCTAGCACTTGCCACCAACCCCAATCATGTGCCTGTGGGATTATTCCATTACCATCCATCTATCTGTAAGTTCCTGGGGAGAGGTCCCAGAGTCAGGCTTTCTACGCGTCACTCCTGGATTCCACATGCCCGTTAGTGTGTCTCTCGACACTCAGAGAAATACCGGTTGGATGAATGAATATTTCTTCATCTATAAAATAAGAGGAGATCGCCTAGGTTTCAATCAGCGAGGTTTGAAACCTAAAGCTCCAAGTGAGCATGGGCTCTGGCATCCTCCATGCTCCCCAAGGCAGGCTGCCCAGACTACGTCACCCTCAGTGACATTAGCAGCTTGGTTACCCTTCCATTCCCCAAGGCTTGCAGGGCGCCTCCAGGTCCTAGGGGCTACACAGCAGTAGAGAGAGAGGAAATCCTGGTGAGCCACTGGGTGCTGAGTAATTCGGGAGTTTTTTTTTTCAAGCTACTTCATCTCTCCCATCCCTGCAGTAACTGGATGAGACCCCCACATCTGGCCTCAGAAAAGCACAGACAGGTTGCCTTCCTTCCTCAGGACTCCTTGGTCTCTGCAGGTGAGGAGGTGTAATGATAGAAAAATAAAAAGTTCCTTAGGGCCAGGCGCTGTGCCAAATGCTATACATATAACTCATTTATCTCCTCACGGCTACATTGTAATAAGGGAGGTACCATTATGGCCCTATTTCACAGATGAAGAAAGCTGAGGCAAAGCAAGATTTGGAAACTTGCTCAAGGTCTCAAAACTTCAGAGATCTTGCTCTTAACCACTACACAATACTGCCTCTATTTAAGAAGCAAATGTTGCCAAAAAAGAGATATTAATGATGCCCATTCCACCCACTGATTCCTGCAACACAGTGCTTCACTGGTGGAAGCTGGAGAGAGAAGTCGGGGCTTGGCATCCCGGTGGGTCACGTGGGCAGGATTGCTTTCTCGGGCTGAAACTCAAGAGCAGTGATGCTTGTGGAATGAACACTGACAGGTTCCCCCTCTCCCTCGGCCCCCCGCCCCCAAGAACAACAATCACTGGTCTATGGAGAGCTTCAACTCTCCGCCCAGAGCTGCGGGGGGGTTTTGTGGGGGTTATTTGTTTGTTTGTTTTTTGCAGGAAGTAAGCCATGCGCATCAATTATCAGAAACTCCTGAATCCAAATGGGACCCCAAATAAACGCCCCGCTTTAACCCCAGGTGAAGTGATACGCGGAACTTCGGAACTTCGGAAGAAAACCTCATGACCTTGTAACATTCCGAGTAAATAGACCGCGATTCCGGGGCCAACGGAAGCAACCCCGTGCTGTCGCATCTTAGGGGATTTCATTTGCACGAAGCAAAAAGATGTCATCTCTTTGGGATACAGGATACCCACTGCGTCTCCTGAGTGCTCAGCACCAGGCCTGCAGGTTCTCAGCTTCCGTTGAGCTTAGAATAAAACGCAAACGCCCTCCCATTGCCTCCAAGACCTTACACGCTCTGGCCAACCTAATTTACGCCCACTCTATCCTCCTGGGCTCCTGCCACACTTTTCCTAAAGTGCCTGCAGTTCTCAGCTCCTTCAGGCCTGTGCTGGTCCCTCTAACTGGGTTATTCCTGAGTCTTCATCATTCAGATCTCAACTCAAGCGTCACCTCCTTCCTCCGAACCTTAGCCTTCAAAGTCGGAACCCCCACCCAGCACCTCTCAAGACTGGAAACTCTCCCTGGAGCTAGAACACTGCCTGGCCTGCATGCTTTCAATACTTCCACAAAAGGTTGAATGGAAAAAACCAAAAAAACAAACAAAAAAACCTGAACACACCACTCAAATCTGCCAGCTCCCTCCATTCAACCCCTTAGAATACCTGGGAGGGATTAATTCCTAATGAAAACGTAAACGAGAGATGGCATAACAAATCAGCTCAAAACCAGGGCGACAACCCGCGGCGGAACTCGTAAATGCCATCTAAAGAAAGTTCCAGGAAAACCCTTTCCTGATGGAGCACACACTTCTCAAGAAGTGAAACCAAAGGGCCGGAACGAGCTTCCCGGCGAGCGGCGAGCGCCGTAGGCGCAGGGCGCTGCCTACCTTGAACTCAGCGGAAAGTTGTGGTGTGTATTCGCGTGTCCAGAGGGCGCGCACTAGCGCCGCCAGGTGCTCGGTGACCTCGGCGCGGCCGGGCGCCGCCCGGTAACGCCCAAGCGCCAGGAACTCGGCCAGCAGGTCGGTGTTGCTGAGACACTGCACCACAGCGTTCATGAAACAGGTGTTGCCGTGGTTCTTCAAACCCTGCGCGCCCGGGGGCCGCGCCCCATCGCCGGCGGGGAGCTGGGGCTGGTGTCCGGGCGGGCGCTCCCCTCCGGGGCTTCCGGGCGCGGCTGGAGCCGGGGCCCAGGCGCAGGCAAAGTCCCCCTCACCGTCGCCGTCGCAGTGTTCCGGCTGGGGCTGCGGCCAGGGCTGCGAGTCCTCGGGGCGGGAGCGGCTGCCCAGCGCCAGCAGGAAGCGGCTGAGCAGGCGGCGCAGGGAACGGCGGCGACGGAGCCGGGGCGCGGGTGGACCCCCTTCCTCCGCGGCCCCCGTGCTCGGCTCCATAACTCCTATCCGCGCGCCTCCCCGAGCGGAGCCCGGAGCCCCAAGAGGACCAGTCGCTAACAGGCCTTTACAGTCCAGAACAGGAGCCGGGGTGCAGGCTACCTGCGGACCAGGTGTGTGGGGGGACGGGGCGGGGACGGGGGCGGAGTCAGGGGCGGGGCCGCCCCTCCCAGCGCGGGAATCCCGCCGCAGGTTCCGCCCCAGGGCAGCGCCGGGCCAGCCAACGCCATCCCTGCCGCCGCCACCTTCGCCCCCGCGGCGCTGACTGGGAATAAAACACTAGGAGTCATGGAGTTCACATTCCCCTTACCTTTCATAAACCAACGGACCTGAATTTAACGTCTGCCCTTTTTCCCTCCCAGCCTTCAAGCTGTGGAAATGAGAGGACTGATAAAATTTAAAGCGCCTAGTAAATTTGCAAAGTCCTAGCTATTTCTAAATTTCTTGTAATTACGTCCAGGTGAATATGTAGGAAAGGGAAAGAAAGGGAAGACCCTCCCAAGGGCAGTTTCTGTCATGGTGAGAGTCGCGCACTAGGAAGTGTAAAGGGACGGGAGCGCTTTTGTGCACTGCTGCAGGCTCGGGTGTGTGTGGGCACCTAGCGCCACTCCTTCCAGCCCGTCTGCGGGTAGGGGAGGCAGAACCTTTGCCGGGATCCGCCATCCTAGGACCAGAACTGGGAGCCGCGTGTTGCCCCACGTGAAATAACCCGATGATTATGGTTTGCTTTTTTAAACTATGGAGTAAGTTAGAATCTTTCTACAAAAACTTGCGACACTTGATCATCCTTGCTTTAACTGATGGAGAAAGGGGCTCAGGGAGGTTAAGGCAATATACTGAGGCCCCAAAACCCGTAAGCAGAAAAACCAGAGCGCTCCTGCCAGCCCCACAGGTTGGCTCGCTCCAACCTCGCGCTGTACAGCGTTCGCTCACCAGGCAGTTTTCTGGATCTCAGACACGCCCCCTACGCGGTCACCTGCTCATTCCTCAACGCAAAATCCTTGCTGAATTGTTGCCCAATCAGAATTCATTTGGCCTTGCCAGGCCCTTGATTCCCTGGGTAACTGTGGGACTCTGCTCACTTTATCCTGTAACTGTCTGGTTTATAATTAACCAGACAAAGTCTTGAAAAATGAATTTCTCATAGATTTCTAGCTCAAAAAATGATCAGTAGAATGCGTTATGGCACCAACATCCTGAAATGTTACTATTGAAGTATTTGATAAATAAAAGATCCCATTTATTAAATATCGGCCTTGGTATACCAAATAAGATGCAAGTGACCAGATGCAACAACAACAACAACACAAAAGAGCATTAGTTAAAGGATATGCTTAGGACGAAAGTCTGTACGGTGCACTGGGGCCTTGGTGTTTCCTGAAAGGATCACTATTTACCCTTTCCGGAGAAGAATTCCCTTTGGATGATTAACATACAATGCCCAGTCCCTCGCCCTTCCGATGGCACGCACAGGGGACAGACTTTATGGCCAAAAAAAAGCACCCATGAAATTTCATCTTTGATGGTCACCCCAAGACCCCCAAGGACACACAGTGGAGAAAGCATTGTAATTCATGTTTAACTTGCTCTGTGTCAGGAATTCTGCTGATGCTTTAGTGCATTATTTTACTTACCTCTTACAGCAGCCTTGGGGGCAGGAATTTATTCTTGCGATACAAAAAGTAAAACAGTGGCTTAGAGAATTTTAAAAAATAAAATAAAATAAAATAAAATAAAATAAAATAAAATAAAATAAAATAAAATAAAATAACTAGCCCTGGCTGGGTCGCTCAGTTGGTCGGAGGGTCCTGCAGATATGCCCAGTTTGCTGGTTTGATCCCAGGTCAGGGCACACGCAGGAGTCAACCAACGAATGCGTAAATAAGTGGAACAGCACATCTGTGTTTCTCTCCCTCCTTTCCTGTCTAAAATCAAACAATAAAAAAATACAAAAATAAAATAAAAAGCTACCCGAGATCCAGATTCAAACCCGCATCTTGCCCCATGCAGCTTGACCAATGAAATGCTGATTAAGAAGGTGAGCTCGCCTTCCTTATTTTCAGAGGATATCAGCAAAGCGATCTGTGGATGTATCGTGAGGCAGGGCTGTGGGTCTTGTAGAGCCATAGAAAAGAGATTATGACAGGAAACCAACAACTAGAAGTTTATTCATACTAAAAAGACTTTTAATTACAGTTTGGACAAATTACTAGAGCATATTTCAATTTTAACATACAGTTTAAGAATGTCAAATACATTCTACAAAGGGATGGAGACACAGTTAAAATATTTTGACTAAAGAACAAAAACCCACCAAAAGCGGTCTTAGAGTCGTCTAAGCTGCAACGTTCAACAGAACTGTGTGCGGTGCTGTGAATGCCGGCTGCTTCACGAGGTAAATGGGTACTTCCACCTCAAAATGGCTCCGTCGGCACTTACACTAATGATGTACTGATTTCCTGGACTTATCCGAATGCGCGTGATGTTGCCACTGTGTCCAACCCCAACATGAGTCACTTCACCCTCGTTATAATCCCAAACTTTGACCATATGGTCATTTCCACCTGAAAAAGACATTTATATGACATTGCCGTAATAGAACACAGAGTAACAGCCTTGATTTCAAATAACTGAATTATTTTCAACACATTTCTAACCTGTCTTTATAACAACCCTTTGCCTTGATTGTAAACGTGTAGGTCTGTTTTAGTTAATTTGAGGGGGGAAAAAATACAAGAGTTGATACCACCCTTGATCCCACCACCCAGAAAGAACCACTAACAACATCTTTGGTTAGTTCCTCCCAGCCTTTTCTCCGCGACTGTGCTGGTACACATGTGCATCTGCGTATGTCGCTGGGATCGTACCACGTCTGCTTTTGTATCTTATTTTCAGAAAATGTGTTTTTGAAACTTTAATTCATTTGGAGTATTTCATTGTTAATGTTCCAAAGAATCAAAGGGCCTGTCAGGAAATGATATTGATGTTGTTCCAACAGGCATGCTGTGTGGTAAATGCTCCCTGGAACCACTGACTTAAAAGCCTGGCATTTAAGACTTCAGCAGGAAAGAACAGAACAAGGCCAGGGCGCAGCCCATGCCCTGGGAAGCCCCCCTTCTCTCATGGAAGCCCCCCCGAAAGTGCCAGCAGTGTGAGGCTTAGCTTTCGCTTGTGCCCCTCAGGCTGCGGGGCAAACATTTCTTCTCATTGAGTTGTGACTTCTGCATTTTTCTTTTCCAACCACAGTGGCTGCGGTGCTCAGGCCTGACGCAAACCACGTTGCCCTCTAGGCCCCTTTTTTGGTCACCTCCAATGACCTCCTGCCTGCGAGTTCCATCTCCCTACTTACATGAGTCAGGCTTGGCTTTCTTTTCTGACCCCAGTACTGACCTGTGACAAAGTGCACTCCTTCCAGGGTGATATCCATACCGTTGATTGACCCCGACAAGGAACCTTCCAACTCTCTGATTACTGACCCATCAAATACTTCCCAGTAAGCAATCTGGAATTCCAGAGAGAAGCATTAGGCAGGACTCAGCACAGCGGAATCATCCATGCACATGCTAGCAAAAGATGGTCCTACTTTATATAGAAGGTAGCAAAAATACATCACGGGATGATATGTTGGCTGAAATTATAAATAGGCTAAAGCAGGGGTGGAGAAGCCATTTTAATATTTTTAGTATTGGTTTTTAAATTTGCATTCTATTTAAAGAGACGTTGATGTGCTGGTAGACCCGGACTGTGATAGAAGTGGTTGTGATCATACCAGGCAGATGAGTCTGAAGTCAGTTGTAAAAGAAAAAGGGAACAGCCACCGAATGGGCTTTCCCACCTCTGCTCTCAGAAGGGGAGAGCAGGGCTCTGGGCAGAGGAGAGAGCACATGCTTCCATCAGCTTGGGGGGTGAGCAGTCCAGAGAGCTCCGGAGACTGCGCCTGACAAAGCCACCGCTCACTGTGCCTGTCCCTCCCTCTTCCTCATCCCACCCCTATTCCCAACTTTCTCTTCTGCCTCAAAGCAATAAGCATGCCACAGGGTGGAGTTTTTAAGAAAAACCATTAATATCTGCCCCCCGCCGGCCCCCGCCGCCCCGGGGAAGGGAAACTAGGTAGGATGAAGGGGGAGTGGGGGGAGACAGAGCTCACGGAGAGTTATTTTTCTCTGAATAAACTGCTTTTATACTTTTTGAACTTTGAAACATACATGCACAGCCTATTCAAAACTAAAATTTCTTACTAAAAAAAAGCACTTGACCAGGAATCAGGGGTGGGAACGTGGACATGCTTTTCAGCCTGTCTGTTTCATGCTGGTGGAAACTCGCTGTGTTCCAGCCAGTACGCCAGGAATTTGAACTCCTCTGAACCAGCTAGGAATTGTGTAAGGTATATATCATATATTATATATGTATTTTATATATATATATGATTTCATTTGATGCTTGATCGCTTTAACATAAAGTTCCGTTTTATAGTGAAAGCAGAAAGAACTATAAAAGCACACCAAAATCCTCGTTTCTCAGGAAGCAAACCCATATAAGTAGTTTGTGTCTGACTACCTGCTTTCTTAGCCAAGGAAGTCAAAGTGACCCTCTTCTGAGCTGTTTTATCAGGCCTCAGGCTTTCCTGGATGTCCTCTGCCTGGGATGGTCTTCCCTGAGATCTGAGCCTGGCTTGGTCCTTCCGTCACACAGGTCTCACTCAGCTCCAAGGTCGCCTCCTTAAGGGAGGCCCTCACTGACCAGCTGGCTAAGCAGCCTTCTTCCCCGAGCCAGTCCACAGAACCCATCCTGTTTTCTTTTCAGCTCTTTCACCACCTCATATCTTCTTGTTCACCTGTTACTCATCGTTCATTCATGTATTTGTTGTTTACGTGTGTGCTGTCCAAGTCCGTCCCCTCCTACCCAAGATAAACGTACACAAGAAGTGAGCTCTGTGACAGCAGGCGCATTGTCATGTCCCCAGCACTTAGGACAGCTTTGCAGACTCATGATTTATGATT